AAAAAAAAAAAAAAAAAAAGATCCACGAATATAAAATCCTCAGGAGACATCTAGAACATCATGAGCTTACCTTTGACTTTCTAGCCTATGTTAAGATCAAGTGTTCCAGAATATTCCATGCTCATACAAAAATTTCCCTTTCCTGTCCTTTCTTTGGGTAATGGCTACAAGTCTTAGCTCTCTCATTCTCTCCCTGCCCTAGCTCTGGGGAGACCTTCTCTGCCTTGTCTGCCCTATGGAATCCAGATAAATGTCGCTCATCTGTTGGCATCTACTTTAAAACTGTTTTATTTATTTTCGTGTGTGTGGATGTTTTGTTTGCATGCATGTTCATACACCACTTGAGTGCCTAGTATCTAAAGAGCCCAGAAGAGGGTGTTGGATCTCCTGGAACTGGAGTTACAGATAGTTGTTAGCTGCCATGTGGGTGCTAGGATTCAAACCTAGGTCCTCCAAAAGAACAGCCCCATCTCTCCAGGCCCGGTCATCTACTTTTTAGCCCATCTCAGTGCTATGAACTAAAAAAAGCAAGGCCCAATGTGAGGTGCTTGGGATGTAGGCAGTTCTTAGGAGTGGTGAGTTCTGGGTCCATTTCTGAGGTCAGCAAGGTCTCCCTGGGCCTCAATACAGTCAAGGATAAGGATTGGTTTCATTTGTTTTCAGTTTAAGACCCAACAGTAACTTCTCTGTGCTGCCCCCTATTGGTGGGAAGCATCTACTGCTTCCTTAGTATCGTCTGTGTCTCTGTTCCCCAGAGCCAAAGGCAGAAATAAAGATGGAGCTCAAACCTTTCACAAGGTCCATCCCAAACCAATGAAAATGCTGTGTGTGGAGGAGAATTGGGTTCCTCCAGGAGAGGTGGATAGTGGTGCCTCTGCAGGAGAGATGGGCTTTGCACATGCAAGTCTCCTTCCAGTACAGAGAGGCCCCAGACTCTGGACTCACCAGGGGACAGCCTGGTGGCATGGGAGTTCAGAGGCTTGAGCTTTGCTCAGGGTGTGTCTGTAGTCCTGATGTTTCCTCCTGCAGACCATTATGCAACCCACCTGCCAAGTTTGTTCTCTGGGCCAACTGTCTGTGTGCAAGGAGAGCAGAGATAAGCTCATCTCTAGGTCAACACTGGGACTGTAGAGAGGCAATCACCTGGAAACAGGAGATAAGTAGGAGTTAGCAGGAACTTGAGAGGTTGGTTGGTCCTTTTCTGCTTTATCACATAATGCTGACAGCTCAGAGTTCTTTGTTTGTTTTCATTTATGAAGAGAACCTCTTAGCATTATGAAAGTAATTGAAGAGGCAACATGGCAATCAAGACGAGCAGACACTGAACTGCAGGGATTCTGATGTCTGGAGGTCTAGATTACAACACCTGCCCTTTTCTTTGGGGGGACTCAGACACCCAGGAGCAGCACCCAGGCTCTGTATGTGACCACATATAGTCATGACACACTAATGTTGCTGACTGGGTCACAGGTGGGCACCTGACCAGAGTGGAACCAGCCAGAGTTCTTCCCTATTGAGTTTTCATGTTGGAACCATCTGGAGGTAAGAGGAGCAGAGATGTGAGTTAGGAGCTGTGACCTGGCATGTTCTCAACCGCGTGGGAGAAAGTGAAATCTTCAGGAAGAGCCGATGGAGTCCTTAGTCTCATTTGCTTCTATGGCCCAGCTCTCATTATCTTTTCGTGTTTGGGTGAGACACCTTTTGTCTGAATTGAACTTCTGCTACTTCAGACCAAAGTATGCTGTGTTAGTCATCTTCCCACCATTGTGACAAAATACTACAGAAAGTCAACCTAAAGGAGAAAATGCCTATTTTGGCTCAGAGTTGTAGAGGTTTTAGTCTATGGTTCCTTAACCCCATTGTTTTGGGTCTGGATGAGGCAGAATCATAGTGAAGAGTGCATAGTAGAGCAAATCTGTTCGTCTTGTTGTAACTGGGAAGAAGGGAGAGGGAGAGAGAGAGAGAGAGAAGAAGGAGGAGGAGGAGAAGGAGGAGGAGGAGGAGGAGAATGATGATGATGAAGACTAGGTTCCCAGTCTCCTGGGGCATACCCCAGTGATTCATCCTACCCCACCTCCAGTTCCCACCACGTCCAGTAGCACCACCAGATGGGAACCAAGCTTTCAATACATGAACTTTTGGGATGGGGATTTAAGATCCAACCACAGGAGCTGGAGACATGACTCAGTGTTTAAGAGCTGTTGGCTGCTCTTCCAGAGGACCCAGGTTATATTCCTGCACCCACATGGTGGCTCACAACCGTCTGTGACTCCAGTTCCAGGGGATCCAATGTCTTCTTCTTGCTTTTTCCAGAGGCACCAGGCATGCATGCAGGCGAAACACCCATGCACATTAAACAGTGATAACCAAACCACACGGTGCTGACTCACAGAAAGAAACCTTCCTAAGCACTCGAGAGATAAGGAGCTATTGTGCTCCAACCTCATTACCTCCACCTGTACCTTAGAAGGACCTTTGCTCCGGGAGGAAATTGCTGCAGCCACTGTGAAGTGTACATATTTAGGTTCCACGGAGCTCACAGGAAGCAAATGAACCAAGTACAACCTGGGGAGTATTCCTGGTGTTCTGAAAACCTCCTTGTTGCAGCCTTTGCTCTGCTGTCCCTCCATCTGACTTGGACATGCCTACTCTGTCTTGGGGAACACTAGGCTGGGGTAGAGGAGTACTAGGCTTAATTGGGGAGCACAGGGTGGGATGGGGAACACTGAGTTGAGATTGAGGAGCACTGGGCTGAGATGTCCCTTCATGGTCACATGATGTTGGGTAAACCTCTGAGCCTCTCTGAGGGTTCATTTTCTCATGTATAAAGTGGGGAGAATGCTAATACATGACTCATGAATTTATTGGGAACAAAGTTCTAAATTTAAGTGCTATGACTACTGCAGAGTGGAAGCAGGCCACGTGGTTTGACAGCTTTTCAATCGCTGGGTCTGTTCAATATCATTTAATGAGTATTGCTGAGTGGTCACCCCATCCAGTTCTGTTTGGGGGTCCTGCAATGAGCAGGGCAGAGAAGAGCTGTCCTAAGCAATCAACGTGTCTACGGGGACAGCAGAGCACCAACAAGTACATCGAGAAGTAAACAATTTAGAAAACCTTGTATGGAGAGAGTCTCAACAACAACAGGCCGAGACAGTGAGTGGTGTGTGTACTCGAAATGGGGACATTCTTACAAAATGTGAGGCTCTTGGTGTCCATAAATATAAGCACAGAAACTGGACTGTTGTTTGTCTTCTTGCTAAACCCCAAGAGTCACAATACTTCTGAGCACCTCTTTCTCAGTTCCATTTTGTCCTGGGCTACCAATCAGCACTCTTACCCCAGCAGGCCCTGCTGTGGAGCACTTCACGGTTTACAATACACTTTTTGTGCATCCTCATTTGGCATTCCCGCAGCCCTGAGACCAGTGGGGCAGGGGTCCTGTCTCAGAAGGAAGAGTGAAGTGATTGGATTGGTGTAGCTCTTGCCCCAGATCCTGATCAAGGTTTCTAACTCAAAGTTGAGTGTGTCTCCTACAACACCACTTGTGTTTTGTTCTTTATGAGCTTGTTAGCACAGACCCGAGTGTCCCTATGAATCTAAGGTCAGCTTCCATAACCATCGATATCTTGCAAACTGTCGGGACAGAAGCCTGAGCTCGTTGGCCTCGGGCCACAGGCATGCAAGATCTCAAAAAGAACAGCACTCTCACCCACCACTCTTTCCTTATCTGAACACCCACACATCCTGGAAGAGAGATGCAATCTGTGACCACTGGATGTCAGCACTGATCTGTGCTGGATAACAGAACCACTTGATGGGGTGGGCAGAGCCCGCTTCACCAGGGTTTCAAGTGGATCCCAGACGAGCCTTGACCAGAGGCAAAGTGCATATGAGCTACATATTCTAAATAAACAGTTGGGTTTCTCTGGCCCCATCTCTGCAGGCTGCTGTTCTTTTCTCTATCTCTCTGGAACTTTAAGAGAATATGTTATGTGTTACCCACAGGCTCGTGTGTCGAATGCTTGGTCCTCAGATTATGGTACTGTTTTAGGAGTTTGTAGAAACTTCAGGAGGTTGAACCTGACTGTCAGAAGTAGGTCACCGGGATTTTGAAAGTTATTCCAGACTTGGCTATTTCCTCTTTCTCTATCTGCTGTCTTCTAGGAGATACACCCATCAACATGGTGTTCTTCCCAAGCACATGGAACTAAGCAACCAGGACCAAACTCTCTGGAACTGTGCATCAAGATGGTTTCCCAGGACCCTCCTGCCTTTCATCATGTAGTCTGAGATTCCACACTTACTCAGATATCCCCAGACTGGCACTTGAGCCTTGCCTCCCCTTGCCTCATCTCCTGGGAGATGTTTTGACTTAGGGCAGACTTCCAGGCCAGCAGTGTGGTGTGCACATCACCAGGGCTCTATCCTCATCGGCTGACTGAGACTAAGCAGTGTGGTGTACACACTGGCCGTGGGCTGTTGCTCACTTGGTGAATTCTGGTTTAGCCATTCCAGGACCTGGAAAGGTCTCCAGAGTGGATCTGGATGGCTTCATCAAACTGCTAGTGGACCACGTGGTGGGCTCCCAGGTAGGAGACAACCCTCCATTCCAGCTTGTCATAGGCAGAAAGAGCCATTTTCTCTGCTGTCAAATGCTAAGATGGGTCCTGGGGGCTTCATGACCACCTTTCTTCAATGCACTTTGTTTCTCTGGTAAGTTGGGCTTAGGGTATGACCTGAGCAGCCCTATTATCGACTTTGCTCATGATGGGAGAGGTGGCAGAGCCTTGGCTTCCCTGGACAGTGAGTCAGAGAGGTTAAGTCTTAGGGTATAGACATGGACAGATTGATAGAGAGGTTAGGCAATCTTCTAAATTCACAGCCATCTTCAGGTAAATCCTTGGGTCCTGGCAGAAGGATTTCATAGGAACAGAAATATGGTGACAATTATGTGGATGACTGGTAGATCAGAGGGAGACCTAGGAATGAGGCCAACAAGTCGAGAAAGACAAGTAACACCATAATTCCTCCCTCCCTCCCTCCCTCCGTGTGTGTGTGTGTGTGTGTGTGTGTGTGTGTGTGTGTGTGTGTGTGTGTGTGTGGTGTATTACATGGTTACTGCTGTAATAAGAACATCATCTTAGCCTTCTGGCTTCTTTCTGTTCCCTAACTGTCCTTGCCATCCTTTCCACTCAGACCTATCAGCTTAAAGTCCCATTTTCATCTCTTCCACACCTTCTAAGTCAGTCTCCCTCGCCTAGCTGCAGCCTTCTGGCCCCAGCCCTCTTATTGCTTTGTTTCTCACACAGACTCACACTTATTTAGAACTCACACTGACACATTTTTACCCACCTGCAACTCTGCTCATATCCTCTCCTATCACAGAAGTATTATTTGCTACAACTTTGACAAAATGGCTTTGTTGAGATAGAGGTCACATATGGTACAATGTATCTATTCAAAGTGTAGTATTTGATAGATTTTAGTGTAGCCACAGGGTCAACCTTTCCTATAGTCTATTTAATTTAATTATTTTTAAGACAAGATTTTTTATGTAGTCTGTGCTGGCCTCTAATCTGTGGTCCTCCTGACACAGCTTCCCAAGTGCTGGAATTACAGGTGTGTACCACCACACCCTGATAAGAGGAATGGAAGCAATATAAACTAGGGGACAAATGAACCTGATGTCAACATTGGGATGTTAATATTAGAAAATTATTTTCTAAATTAGTACTTCCAGTCATACAGAAAGGCCTAAAGAGACTCCTACCATTCAAGTTGACCTAAAAGTACAGGGATCTTTGAAGCCTGTTGGAAATGTCCCCATAGCTGTTATTTTTCTTATTGCTGTGACTGTTATTTTGTCACTGGTTCAGCATTTGAGAAGGTACGGTCCATAGAGGTTGGGAAGGCAGACTCATGGTGGTGAAGCATGGGGCTGGAATGCCCCACATCTCCAGGGACCAGGAAGCAGAAAGCAGACAGGAAATAGAGCCCAGTGAACCCTAAGACCTGCCTACCCGCCTCTCCAAGGCCCCACCTCCTCAAGTTCCATATCATTTTAAGCAGCACCATGAGGAGGGGACCAAGTGAACAAGCACAGGAGCCCGCAGGGGACAGTTCACGTTCAGATCACAGCACATTCACCTACTTGCAAGGGGAATCATGGCGGTGTTGCTCCTCCTTTCCAGGGTGTCTTGGTGCTGTCTCTATCTATACAAGTGAGAGCCTCTTGGTAAAACCACCTGTGTGTAAAAGTTCACGTAATGAGTCTGTAATCCCAGCACAGGGGAGGTGGGGGCATGAGGGTTGCCTCAAGTCTGAGGCCAATCTAGGCTATATAGTGATGAGTTCTAGGCCAGTTTGGGCTACCGAGTGAGACAATCTTAAAAAGCAAAAGGAAAGGAAGGAAGGAACATTCCGTAGTGACATCATAATGGCTCTTTTCCCCTTCATTCAGCACAGTGCTGTTAGAGTCGAGCTTCACAGCTATGCTTCATTATTTCAGTGCAGCATGAGGCTGCAAACCGTGCTTGCAACGTTTAAGAAGCACAGGGAGAAAGACCCCTTTTTAGCTGTCTGCATTTTTAGAGGTGTAGGATAGCCTGGTAGTTGAGGCAATGGGAGCCAGGTTCTGTGGCTTTGGGTCTTGGGTTTGCTTCTATTAGCCGAGAAGCTTTAGATCTCTTACTTCATCTCATACCTGTGTTCCCTTGTAGGCAACACAAAATGGTACGGCCTCATGCTTCCTTTGTAGAACTGTTGCAAAACCCTCAGTGTGGGGACTGAAGAGGTGGCTCAGTGTTTCAGAGTGCTTGTGGCACAGTGGGGAAGATCCCAGCACTCAGGTAACAGGCAGGGCATCCCACAGATACATGTGGGAACTGCATCCCTAGCTCCTAGGACTCTCATTCCCTTTTTTGGACTCTGTGTACCCCTCCAACACACACATGCATATACTCACACAGACACGGACAGACTGACTGCATATACACATACACAAATAAATAAAATCTTTTTTTAAAAAAAATACTCTGAGTGTGGTGGATTACAGTGCAGTCTTACTGAGGTTTGCCAAGCCAATGGCACGGACTCCAGTTATGGCCACCAGGACCTGGGCACTGCCATACAGAGAAGACAGCTGCTGTATAGTTCACTCACACTGGAGCAAGCTGGGAGGCTGACATTTGGAAAGCTAATTGTCCTCTTCTTCTGTATCACATTCTGCTGCTATCTCATGGCATACAGTGACGAGGGATCCCCCAGTTTCTCAGGCATCACTGCATTTGACCTGATTATGTCCTCAATATCACCCTTGCTATTGCTTCCACGACATACACCAACACGCTCAGAGATGTGCAGTGACCTCCGAGAGACTGCAGGTAGCACCCCTAAGATGGCTGTAACCCTGCACATTCCAAATCCCGAGGCTGTTAGCCATCTCTAGCCTCCTCAACTCCTTCTAGTCTTTTCCAGTCTAATTTTTTTTTCTTTCTTGAAGGCAGGGATGGAGTTTGGGGCCTGGAAAGGACTAGAAGCAGTACCTGGGATCACTCACCTGTTCAGCATGGTTGGTGCTGGCCCAGAGTCAGATGCAGAAAGTCACAGTGTGTGTTTCTATCTTCCCTCCTCCCCTGTCCTCCTCCCCCTCCTCCTCCCCCTCCTCCTCCTCCTCCTCTTCCTCCTCCTCCTTCTGACTTCTGTTAAGCTGTATTTACCAGGGGTGAGGAGATGGCTTAGTGAGTAAAGTCCCTTCAATTTGAGCATGAAGATTTGAGTTCGAATCCCTCAGCACTGATGTAAAAGCTGGGTGTGGTTTGTAACTCTAGTGCTGAGGAACCAGATAAGCCTCATTCAGTGGCCATCAAGTGTAGCCAATCTGTGAGCTCTGGGTTCAGTGAGAGACTCTTCCTCCAAAAAGAATAAGATGAAGAACAATAGCAGGAAGCATCCAGTATCAACCTCTGCCTACCTCTGCATGTGCACACACGTGAATGGTATCCGTATACATACATGCACATTTATGCACTATAACACACAGACATACATAGACACACAGCTACACACACACACACATACACACACACACACACACACACACACACACACGCACGCACGCATGCATGGGCACATGCACAGATCCATTCCCCAGATTCTCTTAACAGTCGGATGGCAAGCAAACTGGGTGGTAGGGAGGCTTGGGAGCGGGTGACAGGCGTCACGGCAGCCCACTCGCAGCTGCACAAGTTTCAGCTCGTCTCACCATGAAATTGGGGTTTTCATGAGGAAACCACCTCAAGGTAGGCAGGGTCTCTATTTGTGAGACGCTGCACGACTGCTTTTGCATGCAGCTGCTTTCTTTTCAGATAATCCGCAACAGCAGAACTCCCCGACACAGTCAGTTTCTGTTTAAGTTATAAATCTGATTTTGAAGGATAGTATCTGACACTTCATCTTTTTTAGAGCCTCAACTTTATTTTCCCTAATAGATAAGAAAGAAAGAAAGAAAGAAAGAAAGAAAGAAAGAAAGAAAGAAAGAAGGAAAGAAAAAGAGAAGGAAGGAAGAAAAGGAAGGAAGGAAGGAAGGAAGGGAGGAAAGAAGGAAGGAAGGAAAGGAGGAAGGAAGGAAGGAAAGAAGGAAGGAAGGAAGGAAGGAAGGAAGGAAGGAAGGAAGGAAAAACAAGCAGCCTGTGTACATGTTAAAGAAACCAAACCTGGGTTAGGAGGATGATTTAACAGTAGGAATGTAGGCAAATATTAGATACTTTCCTCACAGCTGTGACGAAATGCCTGACAGAACAATGTAGAGAGAGGAAGGTTTGTTTTAGCTCACAGTTTCAGAACTTCTGGTCAGGGAAGGCATGGCAACCGTCACGACATTGGGAGCAGTGGCTGGGCCTCCGCACGTCTTGGTGGCCGGCAAGGAGCAGAGAGAGGTGTAACCCTCAATGCTCTGCCAACTAGTGAGCTATTTCTGCCAGCACATCCCGCGTCCCAAAGGTCCTACAACCTCCCCAAACAGCGATACCATCTGAGGATGGAGTATTCAAACAGCCTGTGCAGCCATCTCAAACACCCAGTGGGTGTCTCAAGTCTCTTGCCAGCTTTCATCAGTTAGTAGTAGAAGACTAGACTGTTGTGTTGAGAAGGATTCTGAGAGCAAGTACAGCATCAGAGGGAAAGGACTGCGATTGATTAGTGATGTCTATCAGAGCCCTCGGTGTGGAAGAGTGTCAAAGGAACCATTCCTGTATGAATCAGAGTAAGTTTCCTCCTAACAGAGACCCCATTTCTTCACAGGATCTGCTAATTGTGGAAGCTGTTTTAATGAGACTATTTTGATTTAACTATTCTGTCAACTGGGTGAAAACAGTAGGGCTAATCTATTTTCCTGTTAACGAGTTTGTCTGTTTTGTGTTTACTGAACAGTTACCATGCCAGGCTGTGAGGCTTCCTAAGGATATGACTGCCAGTTTCCTTCTTTTCTGTTTTACATGCTGCCCCTCGTGTGGGAAGTGTGGTCTAGTTCCTATTTCCTTCAGTGTGGTCATTCTTAGCGACTTGCTTGGCCCACAGGATGCAGCTCATGTGATACCCAGTGACTTCCGAAAGTCTTAAGCAGGCTCTCACTTTCTGCCTGTCCCCTTGAAACCTTTGCCTTCTGAGCTCTGCTCTGCCACTGAGGAGTCAACTGCTCAGGAGAGACCATTTGGAGAAGAGTTGAAGCTGGAGAAAGGGTAAAGCTGGTTCCAGTCTTGTAGTTATTCCACTGAGGGGCCAGCTATGTGAGACACCACCCTGGACCCTCCAGCTCAGCTTCTTCGCCAGTTGAATACCACCAAGCCACTGATACAAGATGGTGTAGGACATTCTGACTCCTCATACAGTCATCAAGGGTAAAGCCTGGTGTTGGAAATGACTAAGTTTTGGGGGTGTTTGTCATGTAGCAATATTCTGTTGTGGAACCAGAACATTGACCTGGGTTTTTGTAGGGCTACGTAAGACCCACTTTTGATCCACATAGGGTATAGTCTTTGGGGAGAGATAGACATCTGAACCAATAAGCAAAAATGTGGTGAAACCAAACATGCCAGATTTAATGGTGACCCAAAGGACAGGAGATGTCTCTACCTAACAGGGTAGGGAAGCAGACTAGCAGGGACTAGTCTCTTTGTTCTTTGACCCCAGTGATTTGGGGCCCATTGCATGGAACACAAGAAGTCATTTTTTAAAGGAACATTCAAAATAGGAGAGAAGGGACCCCCATCTCAAGTCTACATTAGATGACTGGTCCCTTCTGGCTATACCCGATAGGTCTGGCTGTGGCTAAGTACTCAAGTTGAGTCAATCAAGTTTTCCTCCTATTGAACCAAGTTTCAGAGACTGGGTGTCATTGGAACCAAGTCATGATGACAGGAGCCCTTCCAATGCTGGGCTTCTCAACTTCGGACTTCGGCACTTGGGCTGGGCCATTCCTTGCTGGGATGGAAGAAGTGATCCTGGGTGCTTTGCAGAATGTTCATAGTATCTGTAGGGCTCCACCCAGTGAACATTGCAGCATCCAACCACTAATCATGACAGAGTGACAGTGTTCCCTGCATGGGGGTGGGGAAATCACCTCTCATTGAGAACTGTTCTTCTAGAGTGACAACCCCCAAATTCATGAGTGATCCTCTCTTGTCCTTATTGAAAGGAAGTAACCTTTGCTATCTAAGCTGTCCCAGAACCTCCAGGAATCTGAGCCAGTGTCCATATCCTAGACCATATGGTACTGCAGGTGGGGATGGAGCTGATTACTCAGCTAGGGATAGGAAGGGTTTGAGGAGCAAGAACCATTGGCGCAGGAAACAGCACCTCAGAAGCAACCCTGCCGCTGCAGCTTCCTGCAGAAGTCAGGAGTGGGCTTCAGGCTGCAGGGACCAGCCATACCCTCTTTTATCTTCTAAGGATGGAAGAAACATGTCTTTCTGGCTACCCTTAGGAACTCTAAAGAATGAAATTCTAGAGAAGACTGATCCCTCTTGAGGAAGTGTTGTTTCTAGAGTTTAACCCTTTTGTTTCATAGACAAAAGAAAACAAAGGCTTGAAGATGCATTTTGAATTATGTTGGATCTCACATGACGACGAAGGGGAGCTCTCTGTCTGGAATGAGCTAGATGGCAACTCACTGTCACCCACTGTGCAGATGTGAAGATGTGTGTGGGTTCCTTCAGGTCAGACTGTTTCAAGTCACAGGAATGTGGTGAGGGGGCTTTGTATGTTTGCAAGTGGCCGAGTGCAGACCTTTTTCTCTTTCTTTCAGAGTTGGTGTCTCTCAGCTCCTGGCTCCACATTTCTTGCTACTTCCCGGGAACAGATTTTTCTCTTTGTCTCAAATTGAAGTTCTGCAAGAGATGGTCAGGTTGGCTCAGATTCTGGTATAGGGCAGTTTTGGGTTGTGGGCGGTTATAAACACTACCTTGAGGACTGTATTCATTCTCAGGTGAGTGGGGGACAAAGCATGGTAAATCTTTGAGGAGAGAGGATCTCAGAAAAGGCTTCCTAGCTCCCTCAGAAAGGGATGCCTGTTCCCAATAGAAATGTTGGAGATAGAACTGTATACAATTACAAGCTGGTGTTGGACCTAGAAGTCTAGCTTCCAAACAGCTGGCCAAATCCAGTAGCTTTGGACTAGGTGCACCCAGCGGAGGCCACTTCTGAGGAACTGGCTTCCAGGAACAAGTTCCCTTGGGAAACTCTGCAGGCAGCTTAAACCTCAAGAAAACTACTCATTAGGATCTCGGGGAGCTGTTAATTGCCCTGTCCAGTCGAGACACAGTGTGGCCGCGCCAGCCTGCTGCACAATAATGAAGTCTCTGGAAGCTCCAGACCCGGACTGGCTGCCTGGGCTCCCTCCTGCCTTCTCTTCATTCTCTCACCAAAGACACTGTGCTCCCCCCCCCCCCCCGCCCCGACTGTCGCTGCCCAGAGACCCTCACTGCAAATTTCAAACAGAAGTCCCTTGGGACGTGTCTCTGTGGCAATCATATTCTCCAAAAGAACACGCAGGGAGGTCAAGCCCAGCAAAGGCTTGTTTAGCTGTGTTATCCGTGTTTTCATCTCGAAGTTATGTTTACAAAGGGATAAAGATTAACTGAGAGTGATTACACACCCCTCCTCAGAGAAGTATCAAAATCCAAGGAGTTCATCCTGTCTTGGATAAAGCTGTGCTTCTTGGTTGTCACGGCAACAGTCCGGTCTCTTGGCCTCCTAGTCCTACACTGGAACAGGGCAGCTGCAATCTTCGAGACAGTGCAGAGTGGGTAGAATGACCGTGTGAGGGGGAATTGGGAGGTCTATGTTCTAGTCTTGGTTCCAGGGCTTACTAACCAGCCCTTTGGGTATGGAAGTGACAAACTAAGAGATCCAAACATCTAGTAAAAAACTAGTAGAACTTTGCAAGTAAGAACATCCCAGGGAAAAGTGAAAGGAACCTTCAACCTTTTAAAGAGGATTTGGCATGTGAAACCCCTTGGCACTTGCCACATCCTGTGGGTGAAAGTGTGGGGGGAACCTCCTCCCCAGATCACTGAGGAAGCTGGATCAGAAGAAAGGCTGCCTGCTTACATTCAGCCAGCAGGGGGCAGCACGTAACCTGGGATTTCCAGTCTGGTAGAGGTTATTCAGGGTGGCAGCGGCTGAGTTATCAGAGCAATTGCCAGGTTGGGGAGTGCCTGCATTTCCAACAGCGATGTCTTAACTGAGATTTACTGTGGTATAAACATGACTGTGTTACCGCTTTTAACTTCAGCGGCCTTGCCTTGTCTCTCTAGCTGTTGAATTCCATGAGCATTCCAGTATTTTCTTTATGGTTTTGATGTTTTTTTTTTTTTTTTTTTTTATTCAGTTGGCCAGACCTGGTTTCTAGCAACTGAAATCAGGACCCTTGACCAGAACCTTGATGAACTAGTTAACCCACAGTCTGCTGTTTGTAACTAACACCATTTTGAGGTCTCACCTTTTGCAAAGGTCTTTAAGGAGTGCAGTATTAGTTTGGTCAGCCCTAGAGTTGCCATAGAGTTTCTCCTTCACCTTGAATTCTGCTCCATAGGTCAATGCTGAGGAGGACTGAAATCAAACTTGTTAGGAATGTCTCAGCCACTAAAAGCTTCCATGGCTGAGGACATGAGTTTGGTCCCTAGGACACACATGGTAGGAGAGAAGTGACTTCCTCAAGGTGTCTTCTGACCTCCAGTTACATAATGAGGGATGTGCACGTCTACACACACCTAAACAGTCGGACTCTGTTGATTTTTTTCATTTTATTTTTATGAGTATGAGTTTTGTCTGTGCCCCCTGTGCATGCAGTACTCATGGAGGCCAGAAGAGGGTCTCCAATCCCCTGGGACTGGAGTTACACCTGTGGTTTTGACACAGTTGCTGGGAATACTGACTCAGTGCCTCACACTTAGGTAGCAAGCACCTGGCTTCAGAGTGAGACTGTTTAAACATGTCCTGTGGTCATGGCAAGATCGGTGCATCTCGCATCCCCTCGAGGCTCCACCTCTGCAGAAGGCAGCTGGCTTCCCTTGGTTATCATCTCCCCACAGCATGGCCTCTCTGACAAACCAGATAAAACCCAGCGCTTGTAGGATTTGCCTGACACTGTCTAATAGCCCAAGTTCAAAAGCCAGAGAGTTGGACCTGTGGTCAGTGGCAGAGCTGGCAGGCCGCCAGAGGTCACCCACACCAACACTTCCTCTCCACAGTGAATCCATGGCTGGAAGGGGGGTTAAGGGACTTCCTGCAGCCTCAAAGTGACTTAGCAGCAGTGTGGAGATTCACCAAACACGATGGCTGCTGTGCCACTGTCCTCCCAGGTCATCTTCTCATCCCTGTACTTGGAATATCTCACTCATTAGACTTCCCAGGGCTGTTGCAGCAAATGATCAAACATTTGGTGTCTTGTAGTAATGCAAATTTGTCTTCCTGCTCTGGGGGTCTACAGCTTGACATGAATTCCACAGGGCTAAACTCAGGAGTGGAGAACTGTGGTCCTCTCTGAGGCTCTGGGACTCCCCTGAGATGATAGAATTAGGCACGTGAGTCTATTAGTATTATTTACATTATTCCCTGTATAGGGTAGCCATAATTAAACTTGTTCACATGCATATAAGTATATGTGAAGCTTGCGGAATGGTAGATTTCCGTATGGGTTTTCCAAACATTCTTGCTGTTGCTTATTCCTCCCCTCATGGCTTCCCCTGCCTTTGTCCCAATCATCCCACTTTTCTCCCTCACATCACCTATGTTCTGCTATTTCCTCGTCCTTCGGGAGTTTTTTTGGCCTTCCCCACCAATGGGCCCTTTCAGGTTTCCCGAAAGGCAAGCCAGTCAGTGTTCAGCATGGAGGAGAAGGGACTTATGAGCTTCCCACTCCTAACTGAGGACCTGTTAATTGCTGATGGCTTCTGAGGGAAGGAGAGTTAAGGTTTTATAAGGGTGTGTCTGGCCCTCCACTGATGAGTATATGGGTAGCACAAATTTGACTCAGTGGATTATTTAAAAAAACAAAAAGGATACAAAGTTGGGAGCAAGATAGAAGGATGGGAAGAAAGCCTGTTTCCAGAAGGAGTTAAGTAGAAGAATCCATAGAAAGCACTTGACTCATGTCCTGAACCTGATTTAAGTTAGCACTCTAAATCAGACTACAGGTCTTGGCTATCCCTGGAAGCTGGTGGGTGGGTGTGCAGCCTCCTCCTGGGCTGCCCCCTGGGCTGCTGGCAGCAGTCCTGTCACATGCTCAGTTGTGTGTACTTGCTCCTCCTACTCCCCCAAGTGCAGAGACCTTGCCTAGCAGCTGAATAGGTGCTTAGTTGGTATTGCTGGGTGCAAGGATGAATAGACTGGATAGATAGATGGGCTGGAATAGACTAGATAGACAGATGCAATGGATGAACAAAATGGAGGAATGGATGGGTGGATGGGATGGAGTGGGTTGAATGGATAGAAATGATAGAGAAACTGATATGATAGACGGGTAGGACAGAATAGACGGGTGAAATGTATCGGTAGGTCAATGCAATTGATGGGACAATAGAATGGGTAGATTATGAAACAGATGGAGAAAAGCCAGTCATAGTGGTGGACGACTTTAAGCCCAGCACTCAGGAGGCAGAGGCAGGTGGATCTCTGAATTCGAGGCCAGCCTGGTCTACAGAGTGAGCTTCCAGACAGTCAGAGCTGCATAGAGAGACCCTGTCTCTAAAAACCAAAACAACAACAATAATGGATAGCGAACCAGACAGATGGACAGATAGGCTGGACAGATGGAATGGCATGGAAGGATGATGAAGAGTGTCTAGCTGAAGTCCTGGAATTAGATATTCTCAGTGCCCATAGCACCTGGTGATTACACTCACAGCCATTTATTTTTTACCCATTTGACCAACTGTGCCCTAGCAGGGCAGATCTACAGGACAGGGCCTCTTGACAGTTACTGAAGACTGTATGATAAAAGCCCCCAGCATTTCCCCTCCCCTTCATAAACCACTCTGTTGCTCTCTAATTGACCTTGAATGAGGTGGTGTTTACAGCTGTGACTTAGCCGCCATTGATCTTGCATTGATGAAGCGACCAGCTGAGCCAGCCCCTGCAAAGGAGAAAGACAAGCTCTGGGACAAAGAACCCCATGTCTCCAGGCACTCGCCTCCCCACCCCCTTTGCTCCACACATCCACAGTGTGTGCTTTTAAATAAACAAACAAGCAATTAATGAATTGCTGCAGGGCCAGAAGAGGAAGTGGGTCCAACTCTGGCCCAGCAGTAGGGCAGGCTGGCACAGAAGGCCCTGAAGGGGCATGCCTAGCCTCATTAATCTCACTGGAGAGGCCTGCCCTCCCGCAGCCAGCATCTCAGAGCTGCCGGCTTGGGAAGTTGGGCAGCAATGGGGAGCTCTTTGCATCTGCTTTTTTTGTGGTTGTTCCAGTACTTTACCATGGCCAGGGGAAGATCAGCAGCCCTGGCTCCGGTTGGCTGGGCCTGGCTGAGTGGACTAGGCAAGCTACTTTTGGGGCTTCAGATCACTCATCTGGAAAATGAGGAGGCTGGACGAGAATGGCTCTTTTCCTAAACTTGTATTTATTTATTTGCTTAGAATCTGTTCTTGAAACAAAACCTAACTAGGTCACCTCTCTTCCCTACAGCACATTAAAGCAAACTGAGTGGAAAGGTGGGGGTAGGAGAGACAGCAAGCTTTTTACCCCTGCCCCATTGATCCCCAGTCTGAGTGTGGCTCCCTGGAACCTCTCTGCTCTTCAAAGCGCTTCCCTATCATGTTACTCATCCAGAAGACGCTAGCAATAGGAACCTGAGAAAAGAAGAGTTAAGGGGTTTAGTTATTCATTTATTTGCCAACAAGAATTCTAGAGGCAGGTGGTCCAGGTTTGGTAGGGCAGCCCCACAGTGCAGCCTGGGAGAAGAGATCCAGGCTCCCTCACTGTCCCTCCTGTCCCTGAGCCCATGGCTGACGCTCGATCTCAAATTGGACTTGTGGTGTGGTATGGCTGCTGAAGCTCCAGACATCACATACCCATTCTAGACCAGGAAAGGGAGGAAAAGAGATGTGGATTGGCTACAGCAATCTAATCTGTGCCCTTTTGAAAGCTTTTCAGTCTCCAGCTGACATCTCCTTGGCAAGAACCATGTTGCATGATGACTTCTGGCTAGAAGAGAAGACAGAAAAAGTTTTCATTATTATTTTTTCAACCGGGTGTATTGGCATCCAGAATAAAAAATCAAAACAAAACAAAGAACAAGAACCCAGGTTTTGCAAATAAGGATAATGAAAAGAGTGGATGAAGTGGATGAACCATAGGAAAAGCCAATCAAACAAGCTAATAACTGTTGAACATTTGCAAAGTACTAGTCACTGTGCTGAGAGTTATATTAATGTACAAACAAATTATCTCATCTAATGCTCAAAGAAACAAGCATCCACTCCCATCTTTTAGATGTTGAAGCACAGAGAATTTAAGGAACTTGGCCAAAATCCTCAGCAAGTACAAGATGCGGGTTTTAGCTCAGAGGCTGATGCTGGAGCCAGAGCCATCAGGTGACACTTTTATAGGAGAGCTGTGACGTCAATAACCTCCAAGATCATCCAGTGCAGTTTCAACAGCTCTCAAAGAGAGGAGCTGGAAGTGCTGTAGCCTGTGCCAGAGCCTGCTCTGGCCGTCTCCTTATCGACGGTCCTGGTAAGAGGCAGCTCCGGCAGGCCGGGCAGGCCTTGATGCACTGGCCAGAAGGGAAGTATTTTAGATATGCTTTGGCAGCACTGCAGGGACTTGACATGCAGCAATGATTTATGAAACAAGATTAAAAGAGCTAAATATATATGGGGCTGGCACAGTACGAAGAGGGCACTGAAGGGAGAGGAGGAGGTAGCGTGAAAGTAAAACAGAGAGCCTGGACTCTTCCAGAAGTCTTAGAGAGGGCTGCAGCCTGGAATGTTCCAGAAGTCTTAGCGAGGGCTGCCACAGCAGGATCACTGCCCAGATCCAAGGGAAAAAGAAGTCGGAGTCAGCGTTGGGCTCTGTGGATCCAGTGTTTAGAGCTTGACGGGCAATCAGCTCTGATATAGTAGGGGATGCTTCTGTCCCAAAGAATAGAAGTCAGGCCTGTCACAGTGGCACACTCCTCTGATCTCTTCATTCTGGAGGTGGAGGCAGGAGCATTTTGGAAAGTTCAAGGCCAGTCTCGGTAGCATAGCAAGACCCTATTGAAAGCTCAGTGGTGCACATCTGTGATTCCAGATCTCTGGAGGCAGAGGCAGGAGGGTGGCAAGCTGGATACTAACCTGGTATACACATGGGGATGGCTGGTGCCTAACAGTGTAGAGATCTGTCTCCAAGGGGAGAAAGTGGCGTCTGTAAGTGGAGCTTCACAGTTGTAGGTTGCAACTTTTCTTGGAGTCATCTCAATGCTATTCCATTTTTCAGATGAGAAACCTAAGGCAGGACAGCTGAAAGTGAGACAGAATAAGAAAAGCCCAATTTCCACCGGTGTTTGCATTGTTAACAGGCAGCAGGGTCTTGTGGAACAAGCATCGTTTATATCTTGCTCCCACCAGCAGCTTCCTTCAAAGCAAGAGAAATGGGAGAGTACAGAACGCCAGGCCCCAGTGGCTTCTGGAGGTGGTGGCAGCAAACACCTTGGACTACCTAAGCTCTCCTCTTTATTTCCCCAGAGGGCTCCCAGCAAACTCTGTCCTCTTAGCTCAAGCTTCAGGGCAATGGCATTTCTTGCCTCTTCATGATTTCTTTCTTGAACTGAGCAAAATATTTATCTTTCTTCTCCCTCCTCTTCCTTCTGCATCCCTGCCCTCCCCCACACCTTTCCCCCTCCCTTCTCCCCCACCACCCATCTCTTTCTTTCCCTCTTGTACTGGGGATTCTGTCCAGGGCCTCATACAGATGCCGCAAGAACCGTATCACCAAGCTAGTCCAGCTATTACCTGTGCAAAAGTTTAAGCACACAGCTAAAGGAGAGCTGGTCTGATTGGTAGTAAAATGACCTCAAATTCAAGAGACTTACACAGTCCCAGCCAGAATCAGATCCAGAAACACAGGGACACCAGGTCACAGGGATATAGCAGAGAAATCATGCCTCCTGTTTAAAAAGCCAACATCCTTCTCTTGGGACTGTCTCCTCATAGATGTCCAGGAAGTGACATCCATGTCACATAGTCACAACTAATTCCATGGAGATGGCCTCCTGGGTCAGGTGTTCTCCAAGGGTGTTTGATGTTATGGTCAGTTTATTCACTGGGAGACAAGGTCCCCAGAGAGAACCTGGGCTGCAGCACCCAGTGTCTCTAGGGCCAAAGACTGATGCTTCTCAGTTCTCATTTATCAACCGGAGATAGGAAGGTTAGAGACCTGGCATTTCATTTTGTAACTAAGCTTCTTGTTTGGGCATGAGGGAGGCTTTCTGGGGTCTTGGTAAAATACTGCGTCTTGATCACTTTTGAGAATTAATTATTGTGTACTTCTTATTGAAGTCTATTCCGTATATGGAAAAATACTCTTTTAAAAGGAGCATCCCAAAACATTTAGTCTTCAGTTTTGGTTGTGGCAGACTACAATATCTCCAATGACATTCTTTCCTTTTCCTTAGATGGTAACTTGTGATGTTTTTTGAGACAAAATTTCTCTGTGTAGCCCTTAGTTATTCTGGAACTCACTCTGTAAACCAGGCTGGCCTGGAATTCACAGAGATCCACCTGCCTCTGACCCCTGAGTGCTGAGATTAAAGACTTGTGCCACCACCACCTGGCCTGTTTGGTTTTTTTTGTTTTTTTACAGTTGCAGTCCCTTTTAATTTTGCAATCTTTTATTCTCTCTCTGTCTCTGTCTCTGTCTCTGTCTCTCTGTCTCTGTCTCTCTCTGTGATAGGACTTTTAGTGTGTGTGTGTGTGTGTGTGTGTGTGTGTGTGTGATAGGACTTTTATTCTCTCTCTCTCTCTCTCTCTCTCTCTCTCTCTCTCTCTCTCTCTCTCTCTGTGTGATATGTGTGTGTATCTCTGCATCTATATGTGTTTTTTGTGCTTTTTCTTTGGCTCTTTTTCTTGTTTGGTTGTTTTGTCCTACTCTGGTTGATTAGTTTGTGTTTTATCTACTAATTTTATTATTTTTCAGATGCCTATTTGTGTTCTAACAAGAGAGAGGACAGGGTGTGGATGTAGTTGGGAGAGGAGCTGATAAGGATCTTGGAAAAGAAATCATAATAAAAGTATATTGTATGAAAAAA